GTCGGTAATGTCATATTTTTCCTACAAATTTAGTGCAATTGGGTTAGTGTAAGAAATAAGAATATCATCTATGTTTATTGGACATTGGCAACTTCATACCTTGATATATTTCCACATATCATCTTTTGTGTCTAGTTTCCTCCAATTAACAACATTAAGAGGACAAAAAGTCCCACTCCTTGCCAATGTGCCGAGGAAGCTACCCAACTCTTTTACAAGCTCTTTAGTAGGACCAATGGGTTGATTAAACTCATTTAGAGTGATTATTTTACGCTCCTTTCTAACATGAACTCTTGGCATTTGAGTACGGCCTCTTTTTCTTTTTGGCGAGGAGGGGCCTGCAATAGTACAAAACAAAGATAATCATTAATCACTATTATTAGTTAAGTTTATGATTAAAATTTATCTATATTTGCCTTGTTCCTCAATTTGTTCAGCTGCTTCATGAGTGGTAGAATCATCAGATCGTTCATGTACTCCCTGTGATGCAGGAGTGATGGAATCCCTATTCGCTTGTTGCACTTGTTCATGTACTCCTTGTGTTGCTGAAGAGGTGCAATTCTGTGGCACTTGCTGCACTTGTTCTTGCAATTAAGATCCACCTTCGGATTGTCGTTCTTCATTTGCATTTGACCTTAGAGCTTTCAAGGTTGTTTTTGTTGTCAACAACGAAACCTTTTGATTTCGCAAAGATGAAGGTAATCCACCTTCTGATTGTCGTTCTTCATTTGCATTTGACCTTGTAGCTTGGAAGGTTCTTTTTGTTGTCAACGACGAAACCCTTTGATTTCGCAAAGATGCAAGTGATCCAACTGGAATGCGGTTGGATATTTTTTTATTTTTGCTTGAGCACCCTTCTTGATTCATGACTATTCAAATATTTTTCAGATTCTGAAAAAGTAAACACAATATAAGTTAGCAAAAGCAACAAACATAGACAATTAGGCCAAACAAATTCTAACAGAATGAATCACATGTTGCCTTTAAATTTGAATTCAATTTTTAACTAAAACAGAAAATACCTAGGCTTTTAATAATAAAGTGTTCAAAATCATATTTTCCTTCAGTTGTGGGACAATTCCACTTTATAGTTTATATATACTGTAAACTATCTAACAAACAATGGGAAATTGGTGAATTTGGCTACGATGTAGGAGAATCTGAGAGTGAATTATTGGAAGTAGAAGGCTCTGTTGTGACATAATATGTCTGTAAAGCTGATCTTTGTCTAGCAGAGACATACCAAACCATTTTATATACTTATAGCATTAGCACACCTTAGACTTATAAAACCAAAAAAGGAATACCGCACACCAGAATCTTAAAATTTATCTTGAGATGCTCCGAATCGATACAGTACTGACAATGACTAGACACTATCAATAGGGAAACAGAAGAAACTCCAAGTTGTCATTTACTCATAGGGTAAATCTCAAGTCACATCTGGATTCATCTGAACCTATTTATATTTATATCCAAAATTTTCTGAAATTTGCAGCGACATGAGAAGCTAAATTACATGCATTTATAGCATTGTACCATAATGAAGGCTATTGAACCCTCCTATTTACTTTACTTGATAAGAACTACTACTATTAATTGGTATCTGGTCTGTTTTCAAGTGTAAGTTCTACCACTAGCCATAAACCTAGTGAATCAACTAATGCTGACCTGCAACCAAGAGGACCAAACGACGAGAGGTTTAGACTAGACAACTGCAACTCAATAGATGCATCTTACTCTTGTTAAACAATCTAAATAAGAGGTACCTTGTTGATTCTAGAAATTTCTTCGTTTTTTAGAGAAAAAAGAAAATCAGAAACTGAAAATTTGATTTATCAACCATCCCAGTTGCAAGGAGGGATCACTTACGCGCTCAAATGTTAACAATACATGTAGTCAAGAAGAGCTCAATGGAGCATTCTATTGTCGCTGGAAGGCAAAGGGTGTCAGTGATTCCGCAAAAGATCATTAAGATCCACACAAGCTAACTAGAGTCTTTTGTATTGTTTAAAGCTAAAGCAAATGAAATACCAGCAGTGCCAAACATGCCGTGTTATTTATTAGGTAAAGAAGTATTTCTTTCTCTCCATCCCTCCAAACATTCCGTGTTATTTAGCTTTTTTTTTTCTTTTCATTAGTCTGTTCTTTCACTGTGAATAGACAAAGATGAGAAAGGGATTCTTTCTGATTCTTTTTAAAAGAATTTTTCCATAGTTTTTTCTGTTCAACTGTAAAAAAATTTGTTAATCCAATACATTGTAATTGGAAAAGAAAGAAATGAGAAACAAAAAAAAGGAAATCATTCATACATTTTTGTGAAATATTGCTATAATTTCATGGAGGATAGAAATTACCAACTAAACCAAAGAGGACGTGGGAGAAGGGACGGGCCTCAACAACCGAACAAAAGTATCTGAAATCTCTCTCAAATCCTGCAAAATTGAAGCATTTTAGAATAATTTTCTAAAGGATATAAATAAAAATAATCATAAAATATTTATAAACAAAAAAGCCATTATCACTCACTCAAAAAAGAATTAACTTAAAATAATTTCATAATTTTGTTATTTAATCATCTTCTTCCATCCAGTCACAATCAGTATCATCAAACTCATCCTCCTCCTCCGATATTTCTACAATTGTATCATGTGAATTTTGTGCATGAGATGGAATATCAATGATATCAACGGGTACATCTTCTCTTGACCATCTAATGTCATCATCAAGCAATCTAGATGAGGAACCAATATCATTATTAGGTTCCCGCCAAAATGTGTCTCCAATATCGGGACAATTCTCTTCCTCCAGATCATACAAATCAACAGGTACTTTACTCCTTGCATAATAAACATCTTTCTCAATTGGATCCTCCACATAAAAAACATGATAAACTTGTGATGCCAACACAAAAAGGATCATCTGTACTGCATAATCTATTGAAGTACACCCGAGTTAACCCATAATCATCTATTTCATTACGAAACCAATCACATCTAAACAGTACAACACTAAAAGAACCCCAATAATCAATCTCAATGATATCCTTAATCGCTCCATAATAGATAACCTCGCCATCGATGGCATTTTGGTCCCTAGCACTAGCAAAACTATCTGTTGTTGCCGATAAAGTCACTCCACTATTTTGAGTCTTGCCTCGGGAATCCCGTTCTTTAGTATGAAATCGGTATCGATTAATAAAACATCCGGTATATCTTTTGGCTACCATATTAGGTCCTTTGGCTAGCCATCTTAAATAATCTGGCAATACAATATTTTTAACTTTTTCTTTAAACCAATTGCTGAATTCCCGACTAGGATCCCTCGCTCTTACCCATGCATTTGATCTACTATGATTAACAATTAAATTCTTATGTTCCCTGCAATCAAGAACATTTCAAGTTTAATCATATAATAAAGAAAATATTATATAAAAATATAAATATTAATATAATTTATCTTACTCGATAAACTTTTCCATTTGTTCATCTCCAGTATTGAACAGAGCATATCGATGTGCTTCAAAGCATAACTGCGAATCCATGAGAAAAGTATTTTTTTCTTACTTTCCAATTG